ATCCCCCCATCCAACCTCAACCCCACCCCTCCCTCCCCGTCCCCGCCCCCCCGGCCCTCCCCGCTCACCCCGTCTTGGCGAAGTTGGTCCAGTAGGTCATGACGACGGCGCTCAACATGACGTCGTTCTTGGAGAAGTTGCACGGGAAGAGGTCGGTGGCGCCCACCATGGGCACCCCGAACACGTAGGGGATCTCGTCGCCGTGCGCCGCGTCCGCCCACTCGGGCCGCGCGTCCGTCTGGCAGTGGTGGTAGAACGTGTAGAAATAGACGGGCGACTGGTACTCGGCGTGGAGCTTGGCCGTGGCCACCGCCGGCGCCACCCATTGGTGGTCGGTGAAGAGCGCCAAGAGCGTCTTGCGCCGCATCTCGCCGTTGTCGCGGTCGGCCCAGTCCGTGTACATGAACTTGATGGTCTCGCGCAGGATGTCCTTGCCCTCGGGGTAGCCGTAGAGGTTGTCCACGAAGTTGGACACGGTGAAGTCGAAGTAGGAGGCCGAGATGCCGTCCTCGCTCTCCAGCGAGTCCTCCACGAACTTGAGGCCCTCGCCCTGGTTGACGCCGATGAGGATGTCGTAGTTGAGGAACTCGCCCTGCTCCATGAGGATCTCGGGGTCGTCCGGGATCACGTCGCCGTCAATGACGGGCCCAAAGGCCACGTGGTAGCGGGCCGGCTGGATGTCCTGCTCCACCAGCTCCTTGGCACTCTTCTGGCGCAGGCAGTCCACCATGTCCACCGTGTCCAGCACGTTGCAGCCCACCTTGTCGGCCAGCATGCTGGTGTACTTGACGGGCTGGTAGTTGACGGCCCAGCTGGACAGCGCTGAGCCGCTCTGGATGATGGCTCTCTGGAACAGACCTGCAGGGACAGGCGGAGCGCACGGGGAGCTCGCGGCCGGGACGCGGCGCCGGGAGGCCGGGCGCTCCGAGGCCTCCCGGTCGCGCAAGGCCCGTCGTGAGGGCAGCTCTGCTCCCTCCAGGCTGGTGGCCGGGTGCCAGCAGGGCAGGGGACGGGGG